ATCACTAAAGCATTGATCGGCGCACCTGACCACAATGTACTCTTCAGTTGAATTTTTGTCTTGGGACCGGACAGTCCAACATTTTCCTGAAATTTGAGTGACATCTAAGTCATTTATTTTCATGCCCTTCAAATGACGTTTGGAAAGATCTGAGAAATCCTTGTCAGACATAGAGTTGAGGAGCACCGCATTAGTGTACCTTGTAAAATAATCTTCCTCAATAGTAAGCAACAAGTCCAACAGGTCATCTATACGTTTGTTAGGCACTCTCTTCATGTAAACTGTCTTAAGAATATTGTGAAATGACTCCACAAGCATTGTTGTCTCAGTTTCTCCGTGGTGTTTAAGACGATAGCATTTGGCCCATTTCTGCGCTTTAGGCAGAAATGTGTTTTCAAAATAGTCTTTGAACGTCGGGCATTTGTGAGAATACTCTAGTAGAAAAGAATCTTTTAGTTTAAGGAATTGGCACTCATCTGGTTCATCAATGAGAACACACATAATACTATAAATTTCTGATACTAAATCATTTTCTTTGACATGATGTCTTATATTGGATTGAATTGTTCGATGGATATGCCACACACACAACAAATGCCAGACGGCCTCTCCTAATCCAGCATTAACTGAGTTAATCAATGCTGGATCGTCATCCGTTATGCAACAGTTAATTTTTAAATCAGGGCACCTCTCTTTAATTGCCTTGAAAACAAATTGCAAAACTGCCTCATCAGAGCGGCTGCTGATAGCATGGCCTACAGGGTACCCAAGGTTGAATTTGTCCCGTACCATCATATTCAACAGCTGATAATGGTCATAAGGATTGGTAGAATGGGTTTCGTCAATGGCAAGGATTTCCTTGCAACCTTCTACCATCATATCCAGCTGTTCTTTTGTCTGAAAAGCAAGTAAAAACACATCTTCAGGTAAATGTTCAGATCCCTCTGGACCGATGATAGTTTTCTCTCCTTTAGGCTTATAGATGAGGATTGGATTGTACTCCTCTTCCATTAAGGTCTTAACTTTGAAGTAGACAGATTCAGCATCATCATTAGAAAACCGAAGACTGGAATTTTTTTTCCTCATTCTCTCTGTTATCGTTTTGATTTTTACAAGATTGTCTCTCTTCAACTTTATGGAGCTCCTACTTAATCGATTTGCTCTCTTGTATGAATCATCTCGGAGGTTCTGAACTATTTTTCTTGGAGGTACATTCCATGCAAGTTGTTTGGATATGTACTCATTAGTCGCTGTTGAAAGTGGCTGGTGTTTCAGGTCTCGAGGGCGGCATGGGTGGAGATGAGTGGGGCGGTATGCCACCTTAATTTTCCCATCAGGTAAATACTTTAAACTCATCATTGCTAAACATAAATCACTTTTCTTTATGCGCCCTTTCTTGTTCCTCCGTGTGGTCTTGTTAGACTGTTGATTCTTTAAATGACTCTTCTCGGAGCCATCATGTTGGCAATAAAAATAAGACCTTCCATTCCTTTTCCCATACTGTTGCGAAAAATATGAAAACGATTCATCCTCTACAGATGTTTTCCATTTGTCAAATTCTTTGTATGAGTCAAAAATTCTTATTTCTGGCGGCTTCAGGTCCGCCTTGTGTTCAGTGTAAAGGTGCTCATATAAATCTACTTTAAATTGAAACTGGTTATTTTGACAGTTTTTATAAGGGCAGGACATCTTGCCCACACCATAATTCACAATAACCTTTTCTCCTGTGCATTTTTTAATGTGGGCGATAAACACATACCTGCGTGGAATATTTTTTCCACACGCAGTGCATATGTGCTCCGATGGTTTACGATTTATGTTTTGTATGCATGCTTTCTTGTGCCGGCTCAGGCTTTGATGACAACTCATTTTTTTCTGGCAAAACTGACAACTTAATGATTTCTTGGTCTCAGTTTTGGGACCTTCTTTATCCTCAGATCTGCAATCAAAAGGAGGATGAGATTGCTGACTGTCTGTAAAAAATAACAACAAAACAACATCATAGACATGAAACATATTTTCAACAACACACTAGGGCAATTAAAACCAACCCCACTACAATACTATGTACAATTTTCATGTTTAAGTGCTTAAAAAGATTTAGGAGAGTCTGTTGAACACATATAATTTAAAGAATAACTCAGTAGCTACAAACTAAGGTGAAATTATACATGACAGTAAAATAGATTACCTGGGGTGAATCGCTGTTTCACTGACTTATTTTTTTTAGGTTGAAATATATTTTCATCTAAGTCTGAAGAATCAGAATCTTCAGATTTTCCTTAAACAAAAATCAAGACAAAATAATTAGTGAACATCACATAATGTTCATCAAAACTGCTGCCTTGTATCAGAAAAGGAAAAGAAAAACAAAAACAAACTTACTATTTTTCTTTAAATTAGGTGTAAGAGTCAAGGGTTCCTGTTTCTTGGCAAGATTTACTTTAGATATATTGTTTACTGTAGAAGGCGTTCCTAAATAATAAAAAATTACAAATGAGAGGTTAGATATAAAAATAATACTAACAACCAAATAATCATTTCAATAAGCACAGATTGGACGACTTCTTTTCCTATGCCAAACTAGATAATAAACTGACCTTTCCCAGAACACGAAGACACGTTCCACAAACTAGTGGCAAAAGTATGGCTGGGTTTCTCTGAATTATGATCATTTTTGGCAGTTTTGCTTAAATGAGGTG